AGCTGAATACGGAAGAGGATGGCGGCTATTGGCTAAGGATAGACGACCTCAACGCCTCAGTATCAACTTTGTGTACATTTCTACAATAGAAAATAGAGGATACTTTAATTCCCCGGGTTGGCAAGTTGTGTGTAAGCGGACGAGCATCTCTGGTGTCGCAGCATCCTTCCTGCTCCTGCAGCTCTGCCCTTCACTGCTCAAGGACGCCATGATGCTGCTGGAGTCCGGCCTGCAGCTCAGTGTGAGCATCTGTCTCCTCCTCTAACACACCCAACATGTCCGCTCTTATAAACGAGACGCTACATGTAAACACACAAGACCTATTGGTTCAATATTTGTCGCACACATTTGTAATTTCTTACGTAATTCATTCATAATTTATCAACGATAGTCGTGACAGAAGCAGGTGTCGGTGTCATATTACACAGCCCTCCCCCCCCCCCGGCGAAAAAATATCGTGTACAGTAGGCTACTGTGGGTTTTTCTTTTTTTTTACTCAATAAAACACCGCGCTAATAAAAGATAATGAAAACATTTTAAATGTCTATTTGCTCACCCGTGCAACCAGCAGTTCACCTTTTCCTGTGAAACCCTCCTGGATGCGGGATGCTGTGGTCCTTGCAGGGCGGTGCGTCAAGTTAGAAACACTCCACCTACAACATACCAAAGGACGACTGACTTCACAATAAAAGCGTGTTGCATTTTCTTAACGGTGATGTCGCAAATTTTACCGACCATTTTTCTTATAATGATACCAGTGCATCTAAAAAAATAAAGCATAGTATACATCTAACTCCTTGTAGCTTTGAATTGCTTCAAATAATGCTCGCAGAAGCGTCACAGTATTTAAATTTGAAAATCCATACCGGAAGTCCGTATTAAAGGGCCCTGAATTTGACATGGGCTAGATGTTTATCTAGGATTACAAGCTACGATATGGTAAAGTAACATGACCCTGACATACACAATGAATACATTTATTCTTTAAAGGACTGTAGAAAAACACACAAAGGCCACATTTTTCTAATGTACCTCCTCTTCACTGACAGCACATATCACATACTTTATTAGAGGCCCATAAGTAAAGAAACTAAAATGAAAGGGACCAATGTACCATATGTTACTCTTGTAATGAATTTAAAAAATGTGAATTTTTCAGTGGGCCGCAGGTTTGAATAAGACGAAGAAGAAGAAATAATATGTTAATCCCTGAGGGTAAATTCAGATTTTTTCTCTTATTGAACATGTTATAAAGGCATATATACTGTATGTGCACATGTCAGAATGAGGGGGCTGCAAATGAATGAGCGCCCCAAGCTGTAAGGGGTTAGGTGCCTTGATAAAGGGAATATCTGATGCCAACAGGCAACTCTCCAGGTAATAAATCATTTCCTAACATTGCTTCTCACAGCTACATGAAGTTCAGTGAAGTCCAGTTCCTATAAGTCCCTAGTGTACCGACCTCACTGAGCTCTTGCTGCCCCCAAATATTTAAAGATTATCCCACCTTTACATCTGTCAAATTGAAACCACGGCACCACCATAATAAGTCAGAGATGGCAGACCAAAGAGCTCAGTTTCCAGAGACGGCCCCACTTTATGGTTTTCTATGAGTCACCGTCACAGACCGCTTCTTCCCAGTTAGCTGATCTGATCTGAGGAGGACAGTGGTAGTATAGAGGAAGACAAATATGATACCTTCACTTGTATTTTCTCTGTGATGACAACAAAGAAAGTCACAAGGTAGATAACAGAACCATTGGCAGGAATTCGATTTGTCATTCAAGTGATGATTCGTTTTTTTTAACCAAACCAGATGAGGGACTAAACATTGAATACTTTAAGAGTTGCTCATTAGAAAACCTAAAACAAGCCAATACTGGTTACAGCTTTCAAAGTAGACACAAACATGTCATCCATTATTTTTAATTGAAATACTTATCATAGCAACATATGTTTTTTAATTCATAAATGATTTATGTTTTGGTGAATCCCCCCCTCCCCTCCCACTTATTTTTACTGTCTGTACAATATCAAGCTCATATAAGATGATTATGATGTACTTTAGGTTCTGCCTATAAGTTGCTTGTGACTGTTAATGGTTTATTAGTACCATGTACAGTATGGCACTCAAACTACTGCTCCAAATGTCCTGTGATTAAGGCCTACCAGATGTGGTGGAATAGTCCACAACTGGCCAAGTGTTGAGTCAGAACGAACAAGATCCTGTCGAAAATTTTCCTCGTACAAACATCCACAGTGGATTTTCACCCCCTCTCAGTTCGACAGGGTGCAGAGTTTAAACCAGGACACTGGCTGGCTGCCAGTAAGCAATTTTAGTAGCTTGGAGCTCCCTTAATGTACATAAATTACTGTGGCAGACTTCTACGAGAAACACATGCTCAGAGATATTCCAGGCTGCCATGTGGCCTCCATAATTTGTATGCATACGTATGTTTCATGTGATTGTCATGTGTTTGCTTGCTGTGCAGAAGCCACCGAGATACACATGGACTAAAAATAGGATGTCACTTGTTGCTCCTTGAAAAGAAAAAAAAATGCAATGGATTGCACACTTCTGTATCTCTTGCAGCTTTTTGATCCTGACCTTTTACCTCTAGGAAGTAAAAAGCATTGAGTACCACTGATTTAAAACATAGCGCTACCAATGATAGATGTATAACTGTATAAACCTTTAAGTTGAATTATTACAGGCAGAATGATCATGACATCCCAATATAATTGTCACCTCTAAAGTCATACACTGGTGATAAAACATCCAAAAACTCCACACTTTAAAATCCCACAGATAAGGCCTGACCAGTTCATAGTTTATAACAAACAGAGCAGTGAAGGTGACGGGGGGATTGAACATGAACGTGCACTATTTAGACAGCATCAGTCAGTTCACAGAGACTGAAGTCGGCAGTGTTGTTCACACACTTCACTGGTAAACTCAGTTTCATTAGCAAAGAGGATCAAATGACGTCTTTGATTCTTGGCCCTCCACTTTTGTGAGTAATAACACGCTGCCTCAATGTCTCTCGTCCATGAGCGCCCTCACCCTCTCCCCCTCTCTCTCTCCCTTTCCCCTCTCTCTCTCTCTCTCTCTCCCTCTCTCTTCTCTCTCTCTCTCTCTCTCTCTCTCTCCCTCTCTCTCTCTCTCTCTCTCCTCTCCCTCTCTCCCTCCCTCTCTAATGTTGCTGTTTTTTGTTTTAGGAGTTGTAAAAGTGAACTGTAAAGGTTTATTTGGGGGCTTTATATGACTTATTTGATGAGACAGTTGATAGTCCGAATTTGGAGAGAGAGAGAGAGAGTGGGGAAGGACATGCGGGAAAGAAGCCACAGGTCAGATTCGAACCTGGGCCGTCCACTTGAAGGACTATAGCCTCCGCACATGGGTTGCATGCTTCTCACTTTCAGAGTTAATGGTAGCCTATACAGATAGGCTACCATTGCCCCCTCAAAAGGTGTTTTAACGTTTTAAAAAATATCAATCAACTTAAAAATTCTAGAAAACAATCATTGCTGCTCTTTCTGACAGGATGTTCAGACATCTTTGATTACTTTGACTGCAAAGCTCCCGGACACACATCGATGTGTGAGCAACGAGGGAAAAGCTCCAACCTGCTGTGACATGTATCACTCTGCAGGAAGTATTATAAACAAGTGACATATTACTACAGCAAACACACAAAAAAACTATCACAAATATCAGTGTACTACATGTTCACATCTAAAAAAAAAAATTAAAATTAAAAAATAACTTTTTTATAAACTTGTGGTTTTAATTGTACTTGATTTTAAGGGGTGCTGCAGCACCCTCAGCACACCAACTTCCTGCAAATTTGGTAATGTTTTCTGTATCCTTTTTTATAGTTAAATTCTGCAACAGTGGCGTAAGGAATCTCTGCCATCATTGCGTCAAGACATCCATTTTGATTCTGCAACAGGGTAACATTGGAGTCTGTGAATTCATTTTGTGTTATGCTGTTGAGGAAGCATGAGAGCACGACGCAGCTGCACACACACAGCACTGTTCTTCAACGCTGCCTCTGTCGATCCCTTCTCATCCCTGTAACACCTCTGTTACTGCCTCCCAAGAAGGCAAAGAGGGGGGATCACTTCGCCCCCTCATTACGCCTCCGCATCATTCATATTGAAGCTGAAACGTCACAGGGACGTAAATATCCCGCCTTGAAACGACAGTCTGCATGCGGCTGGTGTCTCAGTACAAGATGTAGAAAGACTGTGAAAAGTGTACACCTGACCATGATGTCAACAGGTGGAGCTTGCAAATGTAATAGTTTGAAAAAAAGGCCCAGTTTGAAAACACTGGAAAGTGTTTATTTTCATCTGTCAGACAAGCGTCTAACAAAAGATGCTGTTGAGTCGCTTCATTAGAAATGTAAGATCTTGTGTTTTCCGAGTTAAAACTGAAGATAAAAATCAATCTTAAATCTGTTCCCTGTTTATATGAAAGTGATATAATCCATTCATCTGAGCCACATCAGACATCAAGGCTCCATCTTATTCAAAACCGTGCAGCCAGAGTCCTTTAGACCACGAGCAAAACCAAACACACGCTGCAGTTGTTTAAGAGCAAGACCACTCCGTCATAAATCAAAGTCAAATTCTGTCTCTAATCTCAGCCTTTCCTCCACAATAAGTGCAGCCCTGCCCTCATTTGACTGTACGTACTGTGCATCGAAAAGAAAGAGGAGTGGAAACAGATCCTGCCTGACATTCCTCCCTCTGCTGTGCCTGAGCTTGTATACAAGCAGATCAGTGCAGCTCTGCTAACTATTCCAACCATGCTGATGGGACACGGCTCAACCAGAGGGGTGTGTTAGTGAATCATCGTGGGGCTGAACCTGTGCTGCCGTAGGTGGAGTCCCGTTGATGTGTGTGTGTATTAAGGGAGTGGAAAAGGGAGGAGTCTGAGGAGAGAGAGGAGGAGAGTCCCATGGAAAAAGGGGAGGGGGGGCGAGAGGGGAAAAACTCTGCCGGTTGGAGCTTGACTGGAGGGTTTCTCTGCCTGGTGTGGCATTCACATCCTAACTCTCATGTTGTAACATCCAGCATCGCTTGGCTTCCCCTGCACACTGGCCTGAATCCAGGGATTTGAAGTGGACAGGAGAGACTGAGAGACAGAGTGCATGTGTGCTGGAGAGAGATAAGGGAAGTTAGAAGTAGAAGGGAACGAACACAACAGTTCAAGGAGAGAAGAATCGGAGAAGCAGGTGAGAGAGCAGAGAGTCGAATCCAGAAAGTAAAGAAGGTTGAAAAAGCTTTTTGTACACTAAAAAAAGCCCACTGATATGGCAGCCATGGAAGCACTGGAGTCCTCAAGTGGCATGTTCGAGCCACATACCCTCACAGAGGTCTCAGACGATGAGGTCAACCTTCCCCCCTCAGATGATGAAGACGATGCTCTGGCTGCAGCCAAGAGAGAGCTGTCCCTCATGGGCACGGAGGGGGACGCCGTGGAGGAAAAGGAAGAGGAGTCGAAAGGGGACCAACAGGTGAACGGAGTCATGGTGCTGACTCTGCTCGATAAGATCATCGGGGCGGTGGACAAGATCCAGGTGACCCAGAACGGGCTGGAGGCCAGGCAGCAGGACATGGAGCGGTCGGTGACCAGCATCCAAGGCGAGCTGACCAAACTGTCCAAGAGCCACAGCACCACGTCCAACAGCGTCAACAAGATGATGGAGAAGGTGCGAAAGGTGAGCGTCAACGTGAAGACGGTGCGGGCCACCCTGGAGAAGCAAGGAGGCCAGATCAAGAAGCTGGAGAACAACGAGGCCGAGCTGCTCAAGAGACGCAACTTTAAAGTCATGATCTACCAGGTGAGGGAGTGTTTTTGTGTATAAATGAGTGAATCGAGGCTGAGGAGTAAGGTTGTGTGTGTGTGTGTGTGTGTGGCAATTCCACCTTATCACTGTAGGGATGGGTGTGGCCCACAGGTTCTTTGAAGTCAGGGAACGTCTGGTCGATTTTGCATCCATTTGCAAAAGAAAACCCGCTGGCTAACAAAATCCAGTGTGGGCTTAATATGCGGGAAAAGGAAGGAGTTGGTTTGCCAAATTCGTTTTTCCTCACTTTGCTGAGATGCAAGATGATTTCAGGGCGTGGTTGAATGTTACCTCAAAGTTTTTGCTGGCAAGTGCCCAAGTGACAGGCTGTGCCGTCTCTCCTCACTGAAGCTGCAGAACTGAAAAGATGCCACTCAAGAAAGTGATGCTTTCCACAAGACTGGACAATGAGAATTAATACATAGAAAGGATTACTTGTTTTTTTGGTTTTTTTTTTGTCTTTTTCATTGCACAGGGTTTCCACGTAACCTTAAAAAAGTATTTTGGAATAACAGGAAATGGTTGGCAGGGGCAAACAATGATTATGAGATGACGCAAAAAAAAAAAGCTTGAAAATTGGGACATTTGGAATCAAAGCCATTTAGTCCAACATGGAGTCTGAAAAGAACGACATGAGGTGCAACAATCATATACATTTTCCTTTTTTGGGGGGTCTTAAAAGGTTCTTAAAAAGTCTTACGTTTGATTTCAAGAAAATGTGCAGCATCCTGGTTAGAATCACAACGAATGGGGAAAAAAACGATATGCAATCTATTTTTTCTGTTCAGGTGCTGCAGCTTGAATGCTTCTAAAAATGTTCAAATATAAAAAGTTACTATTACTCACCTATTAATGATAAATAGATTTCTTCAGTTATTTGACCCCTAACATTTAACGTAAGTGTTCCTGTACTGAAAACCTGACCACACACAGGGTGGGGACTTTCTGATGACAAACTACCATCATATCTACACCAACCCTACAATTAGGACCGATGCATGTGCAGAATGAACCATACACACTTTTATAGTAAGCGATTGTGATCAGATGTAACTTAAAGCCTGGAAAAAAATTGAATCACAGATACACACAAACACGTTTAAATATTTTACTCATTGTACACTGTAAAAACCATCATGGTAATTTATAATTCATCTTCTGAATGACTTATACAATATTTTGTGTTTATGTCGCATCAACTAATGTAAAGTGTTCCAATATATACAAAAGGCTTTATTGAAATTAAAAATCTCAGTCAAATGATTCCCCTTATGATAATGTAGATCCAAATCAAAAAAAGACAATTAAGATGACATTATACAAAGTTGCTAAATAGAGCCGTTACCATTGTCGAGTCACAGTTAGAACATCCCAGGTTCACAGAACAGCTTACCAATAATTGAAAAGTAAACGTGTTAAAAAACAACTAAACATTCAATTCAGGTTGAGTTAACTGAAAGATTGCAAGTATAAGTTAATTTGACAAGGACGTTTTCTTTTTGTTTAGAATGAATACACATTGATCCCAACTTTTCATCTCAATTAAGTCAACTCAAGATTTGAAGGCTAACTTAAAAAAAAAAAAGCTCAAACAATGTTTTTTTTTTACAGTGTATAAAAAAGAAAAATGCATGTAGCAAAAGAGAAATAAAGTTTATTAAAAGTATGAACATGTAGATTACACATGAACCATGTTAGGTGCTAAACACATATAGACAATTTAATATATGAAATCAAAAGAGTGCTGATACTCGTCCAAACAGTGGAGACAATGACCGGAAACATTACTCACACAGCTACTCCTTTTTAACCGTTTGGTACGTGTATGATTTTCTGATACCATCTTTATAAGACAGTAACTGAATCCTTTCCAGTTCAACGTCATCTTTATGCAGCATCAACCAACAAACATGTTGTTAATACATTTCTGGTTTCGCATATAAAGGCATCATTTATTCAGTTGTAAGACCAAAAAAGAGCAGCGATCATGTGTGTTTGTCTGCGCCTGATATCCTTCCAGATGTTGTTGTACACCCCTCCTGCCCCACCCTACATCTACAGTGCATTGGTTCAGCCCTCAGTATGCACCACAGGTGGCTCCCAGATATCTCCCCTCCAAAAAAGCACACTATGTATAGGCCTAGAGAACACAAGCCTTCACATGTGAGCACAGAGTGTGGCTGCCCAAGTCATGAGGAACCCATTTGGAAAGTCATTTTCACTCTTTCCATTTTTTTTAAACAAAGATGGAAAATACCACAAGCACGCTCAAGGTCCTTACGTGAGGCCGATGAGTGGTAGCAGCGAGGAGGCAGATGCTTCATGTGTGAAGACACACAGCAAAGTTTTTTTTTTCTTTCTTAGAGGGGAGTTGAGGGGAGCCCTGTTGCTTTTTTTAGCCTGTGAGGCTGCACTGTGATGTGTAATAGCTTGCAGCTTTTTGCACAGTGGTACGAGAACATTCACAGTTTCCACCCCTGACTCAGACTTCATGGCTTGGAGCGACCTCACTCTCTCTCTCTTCTTCCAGACTCTCGCTCTAATAGCTGCGCAGGAGTCCAAAGAGAGCGCCATCTTAGGCAGAGCACGCTGCCTGTGAATGGTTTTGCATTTGTACAATTTTAACTTTCTTACACAATATATTTGGCTTCCTCTTCCTGACGCACCAGCACAAGATTTTAATGACCCACAGATGAGCGGGGCAGAGCTATCAGCAAGAAAAGAGCAAATCTCCATCATCACTTCACAAGGAATTCCATGACTGTACATTTCTCAATACTGAAAGGGTCATAAATCAACATTTTAATTAGTACATAATAAAGTCTGGAAGCTGAGGGCTGCAGGTTTTTCCACTACTCGAAGCAACACATAGTGAAAAAACAGAACTGGTTCAGATTTTGCCGGTGTTAGCCAACAGCTCGGGGCCCTGTGGCAACAGAAACTCCCCCCTGAAATGCCGATCTCCGGCTCTCCCGCTAACTCAAAACACTGGCTTTGTTAATGGCTGCCAGCAATGACATAACGTCAGATTCGTCTTCATTAAAACAGCAAAAAAACACAATGTGTTGTTCTGTTTTCAATTTTCTGTGCTTCCCTGCTGCCCCTTAAAGAGCAGACTCTTTCGAAATCAGCAGTAGACGGAGGAAAAGCTCCAGCGGCTCCCCCAGTGAACTGTAACACTGTTATTAGGATTACAAAAACTATGTGTCAACAGATAAATACTTGGCCTTTGTTAGGAGTCAACTGTCATTTTATATGTCCATGCAGGCTCCAATCAAGGCCACTAAGAGACCGTTTAAACACAGTGTTGTTGCAGTGTAAGTGTATTTGTACACAGGTATGGAAGCCCTGGGAGGGCATGCATCAATACATTTTATTTTACTCCGTTTTCCTGAGATACCGAGAACATTATGGTTGTTTTCTCAAGATCTTGCCTTATATCTCTCTCAAGTCAAATCAGAATAAAGTGGAAATGGTCCAGTAAAGAAGCCGTGGCCCAGCGGTGCGCATGCTGATAATAAAAGCACGCTGTAACCGAGGGGTGTTTACTGTCAGAGAGGGCTCGCTCACACAGGGAGGACGCAGCACGAGGGCTTTGTAGTGCAGCGTCGGGTGTTTAATCTCTGCTTTATTAGTCGCCCCGCTAGTCTTCGCTCCACTCCCTCCCGGGGCCCCTTCACAAGTGTGGTCCTAACAAGGCTCCGACTGACGGGATTTATGACTTTGTTCATCTTTATGAAACAATAGTGTCATCAAGGCCACATATGTTAAATGTGACACAGCTTCCTGCTCTTCTATAAGGTTAAACAATGCAATGCAGCAGACTCTGTTTAACATTACAGCTTACTTTAGGGAGTTTTTTTCAGCCTTAGTATAGATATCAGAATATCGGATATCAGATTTCCCTCAAGGAAACAAAAAAACATCTGTGTTTAATATCGACAGTGCAGACAATAGGCCATAATGCTGTTGGTATGCAGCTCAGGCTACTGTGTGATGTGTAAGAGGAACCCAATCAGCGCAGCTCTGTCAGCACATCAGTGGGAAGTATGTGTCTCCCTGTTAGCATGAACAGCAGCTGTCCTCCTCTGGGAGCGTGTGTGTCTGTGTCACTGTGGGTGTGTGTGAGTGTGGGTGTGTGTCTGTCTGTGTGTAGCCTGAGATATACTCCCCTGCATCTGTGTTCAGCTCCTTGACAGCTGAAGCCATATGCTGCCAAAAAACAGAGCTTACTGAACGTACCTTGAGCATGACTAGTCTAACGCACTGCACGAGTGGGCACTGTGTGTGTGTGTGTGTGTGTGTGTGTGTGTGTGTGTGTGTGTGTGTGTGTGTGTGTGTGTGTGTGTGTGTGTGAAAAAGCAGAAAGCGATCCATTTTTTCTTATTACGGTACAGAGAATTAGCACCAACTCCCTCTACTGAGGATTACCTGAAAAAAAAAAGTTATGGAATTATTTCAGTAGACTGTTTTGGATGTTAAATGAGCTGTAATTGCTGCCCTAATTTTCAGGGCCAATGGGCCATTTCCAAGTAAATTAAAGGACACATATTATCCTCCTTTTTGACAAGTTTGAATAAGTCTCAGAGCTCCATGAAACATGTCTGTGAAGTTTCTTGTTATCAATCAACTCTGATCCTGTATTTGATCATGTCTATAATCCCCTCTATTTCAGCCCTGCTCAGAACAGGCTGTTTCTGTGTCTGTAGCTTTAAATGTAAATGAACTGTCTCTGACCACGCCCCTCTGGCAGGGTTTGGTTTCTTGAGCTTTCTTGCATTATGCCCAATTGTTTACAGTGAGAAGGCAGACTCAGAGGGCAAAACAAACACCTTAGTTGTGGGAGTGTCACCCACCTGGAGGAGGGATTACTGCCCTTTGTGATGTCATGAAGGGAAAATCAAACTGCCTGTTTGAGCACACATTTACTGAAAAGTGGAGCAGGCAAAAGACAGAGAGGGTGGACTTTTCTCATACTTGTGGGTTTATAGACA